AATAGGGGCGTTTTCAATCTGGAGGGGAGCAAACTTTGTCGATATAATTAGGTACTAAGAACTCGTAAATACCCAATTTCATTCTATTCGGATCGTAAGATAATTTGATCACAAAATCGATAAAAAAAGGTGACCTTCAAAAATATTGAGCCGTTTGCCGTGACCTACACCCCCAAACTTTCAAAATAACGAGGTTATATAAGACAAACGGCCCAATATTTTTGTAGGCCAACTTTTTTATTGATTTAGTGATCAAATTATCTTACGATCAAAGTAGAAAACAAATGGGTATTTACGAGTTTTTAGTTCCTAATTAAATAAAGAAAGTTTGCCGACCTCCAGATTGAAAACGCACCAATTCCGAGAATTTTCGTAAATGAAATATTTGTAGGTTACGATGAGATGAAGCTATTTACGAAGTTTCAGCCGGATGTTAATAATTTGATAAAAATTGGGTCTGTGCCACGGACTGATAGTTGACTGTTGAAATTATAAGGATGAAAAGAGTAGGGATAGGCAGTCAATAAACGTGTTTATTAAGATTTCTGACGTTTCGACCCAATCATGTGGATCAAAAAAAATATAAATATAAAAGTATGTAAATAAAAAAATATGTTATAGTTTTACTTTCTTTTTTTTCACAGAAAACATTATCTATTTATATATTTTTTTTTTTTTTTTTTTTTTTTATTTCAATGGAATTTACAACTGTATTACATAGAGAATACAATAAGTAAATGAGAAATTTGTAACATGGCATGTACAACATGAAGAGAAACTACCCATTGGTAGAACTCAAATTAAAGTTCTATATTAGAAGATCCCGAGGCCATCTTCTTTTCAGACGCCTCGGAGGATTATCAGGGATTGAGGATGAAGCAAGGTTTGAAACGAGAGGATTCGGATGATTCTGCAGTTTGTTATGGAAGGAAAGGTATCTGGATTGGGCCAGATCGGAAACATATGGAACATTAAGGTCTTTATGGATGATTTTATTTGTGACAAAGTAAGGAGCGTTGAGGATTTTACGAAGGATTTTGGATTGTAAGGATTGGATACGAGAGGAATTCGATGGTTTAGTGGAGCCCCAAAGCTCAATTCCGTAAGTCCAAATAGGTCTTATTATTGTCATATATACGAGTCGTTTATAATTGATTGAAAGCTTAGATCGTTTGTCTAGTAAGTGCTGCAGTAGTCGAAAACGTCGGGCGGTTTCTAGTCGTTTCAGTCTGGTATGAGGGTATCTATTTATATAATAATTAATAATATATTTATATATTATATAGGATAAGGTTGGGTTTTAGCAATGAATTGAATATTTGGTGGGGTTTTCTCCATTACATGAGCACGACAAAATCGAGAAAGGAGGAAATCATATTGTGCCAAATATGGACTGGTCACTGCCTCTTTACACGTGGATACCTCCTTCGAGGTCTAAAAGCACCCACGTGCCAAAAGTGTAACAATAGACCACACTTAATCGAACACCCACGTCTTCTTATGGTGCCATCAATTAGAAGAGAAAAAAAACAAACAAGAACTAAAATTACCGATTATGAAAGAAATATTGCAAGACAGTGAAGATAAGAGTCACCACTCTATTACAATACTTAATAGAAATCAAGAATTACAATAAAGTATAAAAACTCAATGGCCTGCTAGGGTTAGTGGTGATTACAAATTTAAAAACAGTATACAATTTTTTTTAATAAAGTGTTCATTGAGTTATGTCACATAGTAGAACAATATAGTACAATAAAAGAAACAATAAAGGAAGGCTTCATTCATAGTATATACAATTATGTTTCATTTTATTTTATAAAATTTCATTACACAGAATTTTACAATACTTACGCTTTACAATAATAACAAGCAAATAAAGACAATTAGTTAAGATATATTAGAAAGAGTTAATCATTTTTATAAAAATACACACAGGAATAAAGAATTATTACTAAATAAGTATAAAAATAAATTTAAAAAATACAAATATTGACGTTGAATGTGGACAATAATAATGTACAATATTTGTGATTATGTGGAATAGTAAAAACAATATATTATAATATAAAATGTAATATATCTGATTGACTAAGAAAATAAGTTCTTTAATTTTTTCTATTTATTTTCTCATGGTTATTTATGTATTATATAAAATAAGCTCAACAAACTCTCAGTGCTTTGTATATATAAAACTCCAAGTAATAATCTTACCAAAGAATCGATTACAGATATGTTAAGGCTATCTTTTATCGATTTGAAATATTGGTATAGCCATTTATCATACATATAGGTAAAAAATCGTTACCATAAAACCATAAAGTAAAATCATGGTCAAAGAGAACTTAGGTATGTATTCGATGTTTTCTTGATCTACTGATGAGACCAGATTATACTAAACAACAAACAATCTATTATGGGTTTACATAAAATTCAAAAATAAAAACAATAATATTTAATTTTTATAAAAATTCAAAACGTTTATTTACCAATAAGTTTTTTTCTTGTCATTCACTACGTCTCATTCATTAAAATTATCGTCAGTCAAGAGAAATTACCTGAAAATGATAGATATGTGAATTATAACGATTTTATAATTTTAGTTAGTACAAAATATTCAAACCCATCTTACCCTGGCTCTCGATTTGCGACGAGTCTTTCTCGTTTCCAAAAACCACAAGGTTCCGAAGTAGAGGAACTCCAAAATACTGATAATGCTCATACCGCAGAACAGGCCGAAAACTCCACCGCAATCAGCTTCATTATGTGAAAATAAAATATTAATAACAAATAAATCATTTATATTGGATTAATGAAGACTTTTTAAAATTTATTTTATTGAAATAAACAACTATATTCAACATAAAAATACAGGTACGTTTGATCTGTGGTATAATGTCATGGATGTACATGTAGAGAAAGTACCCATTGGTAACACTATAAATTAAACATAAAACATCATTTCTCCAAAACCACCATACCCGAAACCCGAACTATCCGGTAGGGTTGGTGATTGATCGATAGCTCTAACTATCGATAGTTTTTACAATAAAGGCAGCTATACCAACTATCGATATCACAGGTTATCACTGTTAAAATTTAAAGTAAAGAAGGAAATGAACATATATTCCCAGGCTTAGGTCTTTTTCGAGGAGAATAAAAAACAAATTTCCAAATTAAACAAATATCTTTTTGGCTATCAGTGTTTAGATTATACATGGAGGACAGGTGAAACAAAAAATTAGTTTTTAAATAATCTTGGTAATAGTTGATTATTTGGTATTATCAATTTTTTTGTGATTAGAGGAAAATGATCAATGTTCTTCATGGATTAGATTATATAGGTATACTGTAACCAATAATTGTTGAAATTCACAAATTTTCAAGAATTTCATCTGATTGAGTATGGCCGTTGAATTAATGTTATAGTTTTACAGTAAAAATTAAAAAAAATACGAAATATTATATGAAGTTTCCAACGAATACTGTATTTTTAACACTTTATTTAATTTTCTTCAAATAAATTTATTCCAATTATCTGAATTTTATTTTCTACATGTTAAAAGTTTTTTTTGGTTCAATTTTACATATTTATTAATATGTACATGTATATGTATATATATACTTTTAATTATTATATTATATAGGGTGTTTTAGGGTTAAGTGGCCAAATTGCAAAAATTTACTAAGGACCTCAAAACTAGAAAAAAATTCCTCTGAAGGTATTCCTTCACACCTAAATATTTTCGTTGTTATGAATTATTTACGTTCTATGAAATAAATAAAATCTATTTATTTGTTCTAACTACTTCATTAATTAAACGTAAAAATTAACATCCATATTAGATCATGAAGTCTTCATTTCGTAAAGGGGCAAAAATACCATCAGCACGAGCAAATGCACCAGTTTCTCTAAGACGTTAAAACTTGGAGCTAAAGATAAACTTGTTTGGTAATCTTCTATTCGGAAATCGTTTGGCATATTCACGATGGGGAGCATTGGCATTACCATTGCAACTGTATACAAACAACAAATCGGCATATTCACCATTAGTATAAATGAAGGCATAATGATGGGTACTCTGCAAAAGCCTCTTACAAACTGATAAATGTTATTGAGAGTTCCCAATGCTAATTCCAAATAGTATTAATCCTTATGTTGCCGTTGGTTTTATACAGTTAGGGATAAAAGGCCATATTAGTATTCTATCTAATCCGTCTACTAAACAAAGCGTTTGCGGACATACCTTCACTTTGAACAACATTTAATATGAATGTTAATGTTTACATTTAATTAATAAATTTGTTAGAACAAATAAATAGGTTTTATTTATTTCATATAACGTAAATAATTCATAACAATGAATATCTTTAGGCCGTGGTTACACTGGACACGTAAATCGTACGACACGACGGAAAAGGGGTTCTGCATTGTCCGTTCGAAAAGCATACACTTACCATGGCAACGTCACGTCCCGGATTTCTAATTCATTCATTATTTCTAACCTTGTCCAATATATGTACTAAATAATAGTTAAATTTTATCAAAATTGTTTTTAATGTTTTCCAATTAATAAATATTTATTTCAATATTATTTATTCGATAGATAAATCCAAAATAAATTCAAATCCAGTATAAAAATTACAGAATAATATAAATAAATGTCATTAATGAAAATGATAAACATTAAAACATGAATGAAAGTCACACAGTAGAGCCGTCTTATCGTATCGTGACGGATCCAGGGTAACCACGGCCTTAGGTGTGAATATCTCGTAAACAAAGCAACATGCGGACATACCTTCAGAGGAAATTTTTTTCTTGTTTTGAGATCATTAGTTCATTTTTACATTTTGCCCACTCAACTCTAAAACATCCTGTATAACGAAATATTGTCACCAAATGATGGTAACCGAAAACTACAAAACACTAATCGTTTTTAAATGAACAACTTTTCATAAAATCTAAAGAAATAATATAATATCGATGCCTATTTATTTTAAAATTCGTTCCATCGTTTTTCTTGAGGTTCGTCAGTATCCCGAACTGTAAAAAAATTTAACGATGTGACAGATGTTTCGCGGATCTGAAGAAATTATCCTGAGTAATTACCGAAATAATTGTGATTAAAACAATATTTTGAAGGGAGGGGGTATTTAAAATTAAATTGTTAACTAACCTATAAAGTCCACAAGGCTGTAGGTCGCTCTCCTCTCGCTCTTAATATAATCAGCGTCCGTTGAGTACACAACAATGACGGTCTTGTTCATCCCCTGGCTCGCTCTAAAACGAAATTTAAATTCGAAATTTAATAAAGTATCCCTGAGAATGAATTAAATTTCATTACTAACCTTTCGTTCTCTATAGGCCTGACGTTGTACCACGTCTTTGAGTCGTATTCCAAGGCGGTGCATGTCGGAAAGCATCGGCACTCGTGTTTGTTCTTATCCCATAAATCTAATAAGAGATAATTATTATAATAGATAAATAAATAAACATACATATTTAATATGATTTAATTACCAAAAGCGTGGTGGATACACCTCATAGCATAATCTCCTGTACATATCTTTGATGTATTCGTCTCATCGTGGTCCCATGCTAAACACAAATAATTATTTATTAATCAGTAATCTATTTAGTTTTTGTTATAAAATATAAAATAAAACAGTTTTCTTGGAAGAGTGCACCAACTATTAAACAAAATACAATGAATGCAATTGATGCAATCGAAATTTATTATTTATATAAAACATTCAAAAAGACCTATCAATTAATTGCTATGATGTGATAAAAAACGAATATTTAGTCTCCAGGAGTGACCATAAAAGCTATTGTAATTATATGTGATCTACGATTTTTCTAATTCTATTTACTTGTACTACTGCAATCCATGAAGGGTCTTGGGTTCAATACTTTGTAAGAAAGAACTGTTTCAATGCCAACTCTTGTACAAGGGGGTGATAGGGTCGAGATCACGCTCAACCGCCAGTTTTTTTCCTTAATTAGTTATTTCAATAACAGTACCCACTTTATAGAGGCTTGGTGTCACCCAAGGAGGGTCCCTCGACCCTAGGGTCAATCCATGGTTGATGAAAAATTATATGTCATCGGGTGGATTCTAACTTGAAATCTTGAGCTTGGAATTCTGTGCCTTACCAATGAATTACACCACTCAAAAGAGGTAATTGGATACTTAAAAAAATGATATTTAAAATGGAATAATAAAATAAAATGACAAAGGAACTTAACATAGGTTTGTCACAGGGATTAATTTTTTTTTTTAAATATGGAACACATACATATCTGTCTACCGTTGTTCGATCCCCTACTATAATATACTGCAAAGGGCCTGTTTTGGGAGGCTAGAAAAAAATAATTATATAATTTTAACATATATTTTTATACTATTGTTTTTTTACCTTTTCTTTAAGCGGATTTCAAGGTTATTACACACCAACCGATTTATTTTTTCTGGCTAAGAAAGAAAAAATATATGCTCGAAGTATAAAATGAGTTCAAATGTATGTTAAATAAAAAAAATACTTCGAATTACTGTGACCTGACCTTTCAAATTAAATTAATAATTTTTTTTTTATTGGAGTATCTTATCATTTGGACGAAGATTCAACGTATTGTAATGAAAATAACTACGTTATTATGAAGGTAACGTGATTTTGAAACATGTAAAATTTCCATCATATATAGAAACCAACTTTTTATAACTATTTTTAATATGGCTTGTGGCGTGTGGAAACGGCTGAAGATTGCTATCATTTTTCTTTTATATTAAAATTAAATAACTTTGAAAACGCTATCATTAATATTATATAAATTATACCATGACATTAACATTAAACAAATTACAAAATGATATCCTTAACATTTTATAAATCATATAATGATACAACTTTAAGGCATTTAAATGAATATATTTTACCCACATATTTTACCTACATAGTTCTAATAATCATTTTTCTGATTAAAGTTAGTTTATAATTTATTTTTCAACGAATAACTTATTTATTATTTATTAACTAAACAAAAATGTTGAACATTAAATTAAATTTTCAATCTATTTATTTCGAAATACTTCGCAGCTTCCCATCACGTCCGGGATATAAATCAGATCAGCAGGTGTCTTAGCCAACGCCTACGTAATCGTCGTGGTGGGCTGTACGGGTTTCTTGTACGATGAAGGATTTCTGTCAGAGGATTCATGTTGTACGTCAGTCTTCGGTGAAAGTTATTGTAGTTTTCTTAAGTCTTTAAGTCTTTATGTAGTATATCATTTGCGAAATAAAACGGTGCGTCAACTATCCTTCGCGACACTTTTGTCTGAAAGGACTGAATATTTTTAATGTTGTCGTGGCCTCACGGCAAACGGCTCAATATTTTTGAAGGCCACCGTTTTTCTTAACTTTGTATACTTACGTGTTTTTAGTACCTAATTAAATAGACAAAGTTAACCGACCCCCAGATTGAAAACGCCCCAATTCCGAGAATTATCATAAATAAAATATTTTTAGGTTACGATGAGAAGAATCTATTTGCGAAGTTTTAGCCTGGTGTTAATAATTTAATAAAAAGGGGCCTGTACCACTGACTAATATTTATACATGCATTTTTTTATTTTTCGTATGTTTAGTAACCTTTCTGGAATATTTACCTTCCGCTGGAACTCATCAAGTCATTCCTAAACTCATTATAAATGACTTTCGCTACTGGATTCAACCATTTGTTGGACAAGTTTAGGAACATATCCTTTTTTGTTATAAAGTAATGTTAATTCTTAAAATTCCTATTTTGCGCTAGCTGATCCAGGATTTAATTTTGGTGGGAAAGATTTTTTTTTCATAAAAATAACGATAATTACTTTGGAAAATAAGAAAGAAACCAACTACCTATATGAATTGGTGTTTAAGTGATTCCTAAAGCCCTTTTAAATGTAATTACACGAATAATTATGCTTTAAGTGATCATTTTTTAATATTTTTTTCGATAAAACATGGTTATATTTTACCATTTTGGGGGGAGGGGGGGGGGCTTCAGCCCGAAAGCCCCCCTCCCCGTAGATCCGCCCGTGCTATTTTGTAAATACTATTGTTTAATACTGTAATTCAGTGGAATCATGTTGTTTTATCGTTTTCATGTTTAATGATATTTACACTCTACAAATACTATTGTAAACCTAATATATTATTTTTAATGAATGGTTTAATACCTAAAAATTTATTTTCACTATCCATATCTTGGAAGATTTTGATCTTTAAATCCGGGCCCTATTAATTATTATTGGTATCATAAATATATTTTTAAACGGAATAAGTTTTAAAAAAAAAACTGTATAGAATGTTTCAGTGGAAAACCCATATTGATTGAGGTTTCTCACACCCAATGAACTCCTAAGCTTTTTTTATGTAGTTATTAAAACGATTTCTATTAAATACAAATATTGATGGGTCTTTGAACTTATTCATCTTTTGAAATAGAATACAACCACAGGAAACTCCTAATCAGCTCGAAATTTTCCTTTAAATTTAACTAATACTTTGGAATAGAATTTCAAAGGAGCTGCCATTCGCTTTTCAAACTTTGTTAAGATCTGAATGGGCTTTATAAATATCAGCCACCGCCTTCTATAGAACTGGTGATGAATGTTCTGAATAGTTCTATATTACTGCCTGATGAAATGTCATTAGTCAAATACAGAGTCAATAATGAAGAAAAGTAATGAAGTAGACTCGATTTTAAACAGAAAAACATATTTGTAATTAATTAATTAACTTAAACAATAATTAAAAATGGCTAATATCCCTTTTATTTTCTTCCCTTTGTATTATTTTAATTTTCATATCTGCCTTGTATATACCTTTGCGGATACACATGATCAGCGGTGTGATAAAGCATCGATGTTTATGTCAGCATTATATAGAATTCATTTTTCAACTTAAGAATGGACTAAGAAACAAAAATAATGATGGAAAAATCAGATTACACGACAATCATGGTTTAATATTTGAATAAAACAGAAAAAAAATCTTATCATAAGAATTTGAGAAGTTAGTAAAGGAGAAAAAAAAATAAAAATGCAGAAAAACCTGCGTTGCTATAGACTGTAGCGCCTAAACGAATGTATCGATTTCAATGAAACTTTGCTAAAGTCATTTTCTCGACACCCTTTAAATGTATCTATATAACATACTTCAACGAAAAGAAGCTGGAAGAAAAGTTGCGAGGGATGGCAAAATTGAATTCCAAATAACTCAAAAAGTATACAATTTTTTGGGGATGTTGTGATAAGATGTTTCAAAGATATTTGAATTTCCTAAAAAATGAAAGAAATTTCATCGAAATCAAAGCACTATTAGTAGAGATATCGCGATTTTAAAATATTTTTACTTTCACTTACGTATATATGTAATATGTAATAAGGGTAAGTATTGCGATCGAGAATTTTTTTTTTATAAGTACTTTTCTTCGAATTCGACGGACATAAGAGGCGAAGAAGACGGAGGCTGCCTGGTGATTAGATCTTATTTTCAAAACTGGGAAGATGTGAAACGATCCTTACAAAGATATATTAGATATCTAGAAGCAGAAACCGGTGTTGCTGGAAGGCAAGGAAAAGCGAAATAAACAAAATAGTAGGGAATTCTATTACTTGATTTTATTTCACTATGAAGTCATCACCATTGAGCTGTCTTATGGGTATACAGAAAATATTGTCTATTGCCGATATTCCCTTAGGCATCGCATGACCATCCAGATAGCTATTCAAATGTTTGTCGCATAATTGTATCCGTTCTCTGAAGATGGCGTGTAAATAATAATACCACTTGTCATTACCTCATGGCCTATCATAACCTCTCAAGTTAATATGGCAACAAATATGACAAATGGCATACACAACTCACCTGTTGAGAAGCCATTAGAAGTTTCAAATGAGTATTCTCATAAAGGATATCGTGTGTGGTAGCCAACAATCATTTGAGTGAACTACAGATTAATTTTATTAGTAATTATTTGAGTACACATATTATCTTTTATTCCCTCTCTGAGGTCGATGGCACTTGTCCACTTCCAAGAAATCTTATTGCTACTCTCTTCTTAAAAGTGTAACAAGTGGAAGTAGAACTATAAAAATTGTGCCAAACTGAAAAACTGCCAGTGCTTCAACTGCCTCCCGCAGTGCTACATCCTACGCCTTGAAGACGACCTGCAAAGTGGGTCGAAACGTCGGCAAAAACTAAAATAATTAATATATTTTAATTTATTATTTATTTGACCGCACCCACGACTAACTCCTTCTCATATAAAAATTGTAGTTTTTGCATAATTTCAGTTTCCTAGCTTAAGAGTAATTACCGTTATATTAAAAAAAAAAAAAATAAATAGAACCCACCTAATTAAATAAAATAATAATATATAGCCCACCAAAACTAAATCCTGAATCCGTTACTGTGTCAATATCTAGACTAGCATATCACAAGCATAACAGAGCTTTCTCCTCTCTTTCAAAGCTATTGAAATTCCGAAAAATCTCAATAAATCAATAATTAAGGGTGTACCAGAGGTGTCCAGAAGGGGTTGTGCAACCAAAATTTTTGAGGGAGTCATACTTTGACGGGTTTTGGAATATTTGAGGGAAGCAAAATTTGATGGGGTTAAGAATTTTTGGCCTAAGGGACAAGGGAAAAAACATGGAACATACCACTGCAAGTTTAATTGTATATTATCTATGATGATTTTTCTAATTCTACTTTAGCTTGCTCTGTTTTTAGGAAAAGAAGAGCAATAAAATATCTTGGGAGGAAGGGGGATAGAAGCTCTTGCACCATCGATCTTGGGGGGCAGGAGGGCACCTCTGGGTTCTGATGTTCGCAGCTGCGAAACCTGGACACTAAGCAGCACACAAGAAAGAAATATTAAAAGATTTAAGAGAAAAATCCTACGCATGATAAGCGGAGCGATCTAAAATCAGAGTACTAGCACGTGGAAAAGAAAGGCCAATTAAAAGCTACTTGCAGAAACTGGTCAATCAAACATCATGATATGAAGACAAGGAGCTTACGTTAGGCGGAGCATGGATCTCGAAAAAATCCATCAGGATGCCTCTACAGCACTGGCGCATCTATGGGAGAGGAGGGAGACTTTCCGGGCTGCAGCCCTCCCTCTCCCAGAATGGTAAAATGTAACACTATTTTATGTAAAAAAATTATCTGTTAAACTATTATTGTTCGTGTAATTACATTTAATAGGACTTCAAGTATTACTTAAACACTATTTCATAGGTAGTAAGTTTCTTTTTTTTTTTCATAAGTAGTTTTATATATATATATATATATATATATATATATATATATATATATATATATAAATATATATATAAACCTATCACGCTGAAGTCCGCCTCCTTAAATTAAATCCTGGATCCACTAGTGCTCTACAGAACAATGAATATCTCAATAATAGGCAAAAGATCAGATGGAAGGCCTAAAACGAAGATAGATCGAATCAATAAAGATGCAATACAGCTTCATGCAGACAACCGGAAAGAAATAGCCCAATATATGCAAAGATCTAAGGAGGAAAATCTGACGGTTGAGCATGATTTCGGTGAAATCACCTCCTTGAACAACCATTGACCTAGAAACAGTGCTTTCCTTAAATAGTACTTAACCCAAGACCCTTCATGGGTTGAACAGGTTTTTTGTTTTTTCTTTCTTATTATTATTTCTTTTTTTTTTTTATGTGAAGATGATAATGCTGGTTAAGATAAAATATTTACAACATCAGTAATGTCAACAGAAAAAAAAATAAATTAACATAATTTCTTATGTATTGTCATTGTCATCTTAGGGGATTTTTAGATAAATCCATCTTTCAGTATATCTTCTCTCCTTCTATTGACATCCAGAGAACTTTATATCGACATTCATATTTTATAAAACTTCTGTTCTAACAAACCTCTCAATAATAAGCCAAGAATAAACACTATAGCTTTCTTCCCCATTTAATAACTAAATCTACTTGTCACTGCATGCTAATTTATATTGGTAAAAAGGTTACATGGCATGTAGAAATCTTTGCAGTTGCAGATCTGCAAGGTCTTGTTAGTAAGGCATTCGAGGTGGCAGTTGTTGAAGGAGTAATAGCGGAAATAAGCCAGTTCTCGCTCCCCAGGAAAGAAGCACCGCCTCTGGCCGATGCTGTAAATGTTGAGGTGCCGGCTGGCCACTATCTTACGGGAGCGGACGTCAATCAAGATCTGTAAGGCATTGAGGAAAAACAAACATAATGAAAAATGAAGAGAAGGATAGTTGTGGTGATGAGTCAAAATAAAAATGGTAAAAATAAATAATAAATTAAAAAATAAATATTATTTTTTAATTTATTATTTATTTTTGCCATTTTTATTATGATTGATCATCCCAACTATCTTTCTCTTCATTATTCACTACAGTCAACCATCAATCTACAATAATGAAAAATGCTAACAATTTTTTTTTTAATTTGTTTATTTAGAAATATTACATTCTGTCACAATCAAGGACATTTATAATAGTGTTCAGAGAGCACACTCACACTCTATAAACAATAAATAATACAGAAACTAATAATAATAAAAATAAATTTATATAAACAAAACAACTAAACTAATCAAAATAACAACTAAAACACATGCATACTAAACAATATATATGCATATATATAATATGCATACTATACAATATTTACAGAATCCATTCACACAGAAGAACTAAGAGCCAAGCTTTTCATCCCACTCATGGAAGGAAAGGCAGGACTCTAGGAGATCCCAGTGCCTCGCAACTAAGCCGCATTACTAGTATTAAGAACCAGTAGAGGCTGAGGAGAGGCAATATAATCACACATACATGGCTTCAGTGGAGGATCTGGCCATTGCTAAAACTCCAATGTATGTTTATTCACAGAAGGTCTCTGGGCCACTGCCGCTTCAACCTTCAAGGAGGGTTGCAAGGATGGGTGGTGCTGGATTGAAATTGTGCAAGGGGATTTGGATGATATGTAAGGTTCTGGTGGAATTTGGAAAATGTTTCTGGAATAAGGTCTAGGACAAATGGGATATTAAGGTCATGGTGTAGGGTTCTGTTAGTTAAATAGAATGGAGCATCAACTATTGTTCAAAGGACTTTAGATTGAAGGAATTGAATACGTTTGATGTTACAAAATTTTAACATTATCAATGGTGTAAGCTAAGCACTGGCAAGTCATGACCTAGCCATGTCGCAATTCTCGTGAATGGCTCCGTCCCCACCACTTTTCTTTAATGCTAATTAATTGTTTTTGCAAATATGTATCAGAAAAAATCAGGACTTTTTGTGTTTTTAATGTTATAATTAAATCTTTATTCAATGATAAAAATCTTGGCTATTCTCATTTTTCATTTTCATCTATTCTGCACTCAACTAGAGTCCAATAAAGGACAAATTTCCTGTATGTCAGCATTAAACCTTTCAAATATTATTTAATTACTTTCAAGTTTGTTAAATTAAATCTCCACAACATTGAAAAGAAGTAAGTGCAGAAATTTATGTTTTTTTTCAGAAAACAAATGAAATTCCTTTTAAGAATCTGAAGCAATTATCTTCCATCGTTTTAGATTATGTGTTATTGTTGATTTTAGTAAAAAAAACATTAATATCCAATGAGCCTACAATGTGAGGTGGTGAATAAGCCCTTCCAAAGGCATCAAGTCAAGGGTATACCAAGAATGACAGTCAGATTGTGCTGCAAACGACACCATAAGTGAAGGATAAAGCAATTTATATATATATATATATATATATTTATATATATATATATATATATATATATATATATATATATATATATATATATATATATATATATATATATGTATATATATATATATATATGGCATATTTACAAAATGTACAAAGTTGTTATTCTTAAGGGACTTTGTCCCAGAATAAAGTTGATTCTTCTATTCTCTCTCTCTCTCTCTCTCTCTATATATATATATATATATATATATATATATATATATATATATATATATAGAAGGTATATTTAAAATAAATAAAACAATTATACATTTTGTGTATGATCAGTAAACACTTACCTTACCATAAGCTGGAATATCAATATATTTGTCAACTGTTCCTTTATCTTCCTAAATATAAACAGAATAAATTTAGATCTATCATTTAAAAATGTGCATATGTCACATTATTTAAATCTAATATTAACTTTTAATAAAAACAAATAGTTTTTTTTTTTAAAAGAATAAAAACCAAATACGAATCTTTTATTATAAAAGAAGTTTTGAGATTTTTTATCCATTATTCTACTACTATATTTTATTCTATGAGTATATAAAACATTTTTTTTAAGGCTTCATGGCTCAGAGCCCATTGCCTGTTTGATTAGTGACCTATTTGATTAGTGCCCAAACCACCCTTTGCCTCAATGATCAGAACTTTTGTTCTTTGATTTGCAACTACAAATTTCCGCACAACTTCAAATTGTTAAGCTGTTTTAAAACCAATTTTAATATGCTTATTAAATTATTCAAGCTCTGAATAAAATAACATCGCTCTACAGCTAAAATTTTTTTATTTAACTGTTTTTTTTTACAATATTAGCTTTACAGCACTTCTAATTTCCATACTTCATTCATTATTTCACTCTCTCAAACAAATAGTTTCTTTTCTAACTTTTCTACCTTTGTCAAAACAGAAATCCTAAACTCTTTATAGCTTAACATCGCTCTAAAACTTCAGTTTGTACCTCATCCATTGACCTGATAGTTTCAATTATATAAATAATTTCATCTATTTTTTTTAATTGTTGGTTTCTATCTGATTCAATACATAATCTTCTTTTATTTGTTTTAAAGGCTCAATCTATCTCAATAAAAAGTTTTTTGTTTTTTTTATTTTCATCTGATATAATTCTATTATCCATATTTATAGTAATGCGGGTTCCCCAAAACATTATTTCTGAAATATTTAATGAATAATTACTGAAACATGTAATAAGTTTAATATCGGATGAATTTCTCCCACCTATTTCTTTCTCTGGGATTACATTATTAGCATTTTTCATCACTTATTAAAAAAGGTCATTAAAAAAATGTTTAATGAGGACCAACCGGTTCCTAATTAGGTTCGATTTTCTTTAATAATTGAAACCTGATATTTTAAGATCAATTACTTTATCATTGAATAAGGTTACTAAGTCAGGCAAACATGAAATATATAACTTATCTGTATAATAAATATTTAACCTTATATTAACTGTTAATTTAAAGTATTCATCAATAACAAAAATAAATTAATAATCTCTTTTAATTTGAATAATAATAAGTAAGAAAGTATGGTTATTATATACAATATCTACAAATAATTAAAATATTCAGATACAGCGTAAATTATGACAATAAAGTGAACTATTCGATGTAATTTTATTATTTTCATTTTCAATGATCACTTCAGTAAAATAATTATAAATTTATTTTGTAACTTGATACGATTAGGAATTCAATTTATTTGCAATTGAAATTGAAAATATTTAAATCATCCGCTTCAGTAATTTTATATTGTTACGTAATCCTTAATTATTTTTTAGTGCTTTCATCGACTTATTTCAAAATTTAAAAAAAGTTATAACCTCCACTTATTATATTTTATCAAATTTCAACTCAAACCTAATAGCAAGCCAAAGAATTTATTAAAGTCAATAGCTAAAATTATAGCAACATATAAAAATAATTTTATATTATTATATTAACTCTTAGTAGGATAATGGGTTACATTTGTAACTCTTTACAAACAATAATAAAAAATAAATAAAAAAGTCATGGTTCATTTTTTCTGTAAATTTGTTTTATAATACTTTTGTGATGTTATACTTTGTTCATACAAATAAAAATAGTATTTTTTTTTGCTATTTTCAAGAACAATTCAAAAAACAGAAAAACTTAATAAAAAAATAAAATAAAAAATTATACAGATTTTAATTGACTTAATTTAATCCAATAAATTGTTATGTAAATACCTAAATCCTCACCCATAAATAACTTAAGGTTGCCTGGTTACCGTGTAATTACTGAAAATGAAAAGACAGATTCACAGGCAAGACAGAAGATAGTGACTAGCAATAAAAAGTGGTCAAGTATGCTCAACAATTATCACAATGATTTAATGTCTTGGATTGACCAAAAGAGGATGGAGTGAAAAATGAATGGTTCAATATGAGGAGGAACAATAAAGTGATATAACAATATGTCAAACATCCCTAGGAAAGTTTAAAACTGACTTGGAGAGAGATCTTTTTATCTCTTACTGTCTGAGGACAGGCTATACAAGATTCATCCATGAACATCTGATGAAAAATGAAGAGGCTGCAACGTGCCCTCACTGTGGAAGTTGTTCAACCTTACTACCGATACTCACTGAGTCTATACCCTACCGCTCATGAACCATACAGATCTAAAGCATTTATTGGGATTCAAAACCATTGCAAGTCTTATGCAGTTATAACAACTACACACATCAATAACAATATATAGTTACCGATTTGAAACAATTGGAAATGACCCTAATAGTCGAAAAATGTAAATAAATAAATAATCCTAATGTTTTTTTTGTTTTTTTTATAATGGATATTGAAGAGATGTGACTATATCATGTTTTTTCTTTCTTATTAGTCCATGTTCTCTTAATTTTCCCAGTCATCTCTATCTTTCGTTGATCTATCTATTTTTTCTCTCCTCTCCTCTTTTTTTTCTTTCCTCTATCTAGAAGGATCTTAATATATTTTCTGAATTTTTCTTTATCCTGGAATTTTTATTCAATAATACCAAGTCTTGACATTTCCTCTTTTTTCTGACTGGGGTATCTTCCCGTGTTTCTTAGCTCCATCACTTTGTCTCATATATCTGTTTGTTCAACCTATTTTCATTCTTTCTTTTCATGTGCCCAGAAAACTTTAGTCTCCTTTTCCTCATTGGTGTTTACAAGTATTCAGTTCTTTCATACAGTTCTTTGTTTTTTAGGCCAGTAATCTTCTCCTAGTTTTTTTTATTTATGTTGGTCCTAGCAGTGCTCCAATTCAATGCTCTGAATTATCGGACTCCCTGGATTCCGAATGCCTGACCTTAACCTGGATACTACTTTTATTCAAAGCTTTTCTCATGATATGATTGGATTATGTGTCTCAACAAAAGTACGACTGAAGTTGTTAGATCCAGAATGTTCCATTTCAGTTCGCCTCGTTCTATACTTATTCAGACTAGGTTATCCAGCCAAGTGGAGGCTCGTTCCTCAGAACTTGAGAAGGAAAACTAAAGAAAGTTCTACAGATCGAAACAATAGCGGCCTAATCCTATTATATTAATATAAATATATTTATTTTAAAAAATTAAGCAAAATAAAAAAATATATAATACCTGCAAAGGAATCCAAGGGCTCTCTCTGAATCCCACCATAGGCAGTTCATGAGGGCTATGCAATATTATCTAGAAACAATTATATTTAAAAAATTACAAAATAAATAATTATATATTATATTATAAAAACTATATTTTAAAAATTAAATTAAGCAAAAAAGGTTGATATATAAATAACAATAATTATCACTCACTAGGCAGAAGTAATAAAGTTTTAGGTTTGAAAAACTTATATTAATAATGTTTTTTATCCTTAAGTTCCAAGAGTATTTCTCAATCACTAACCAGTTCCATACATATTTCTCAAAACTTAAAATGGCAATGACTTCAATATAAAAATGACCATTGAAGTCATAGTAGTGATGAGTTTCTTCAACCATCTGAAGAAGTTTGGGTTATAAACCCTTAATTAGCTTTCATTACCTTCCAATAATAGTATTATGGCTAATGTGGACCACTAAAATGTTATATGGACCTTTATCTGTAGAAGATGGAGGGGGAGAGATCTGGGGTTTGAGCTGATTATAAATATTATAAGCAGTATATTAAATTAAATATTAATTTTGTACATATTTATTTTAATTTGTATTTGTCTAATTTTAATTTTGTGATACATTTTTACCTTAATTATGTATTTCCATTTTATTAGTTTTTTTCAGCCTCATAGGACAGAAAATAAAACAACATCAACAATATATACTTATTTTTATGCTATTTGACAGCAGTTCAAAGTTATCACTGTTCAATACATTAACCATCTGTACAGTTCTTATAAAATGACATGTACAAATGGCATCAGCTTATTAATGAAATCAAATTTTTAATAAAATTTAATATAAAAATAAACATTAAAAAATATATATAGATATAGCAATAAGATAATATTACATATAATAGTCTTTATCTCTACAGACCAAGAGTCTCCAAACTACGGCATATGGGCCTGATCGAGCCCATTAAAGTTTATCTGATTGAATAGTAAAATTTAAAAATCAACATTTTATTGCATTAGTTGTTTCTCTTCAAAAGCTCATTTCACAAGTAAAGTGTCGTTTAAAGAACAAGATTTTTTTTTTATGCGGCCCTAGTGGAGCTGTCAATGTGGTCCGCCGTTCAAAATGTTTGTAGACCTCTGCTATAGACTATTAAATAGTATCAAATTTTCCTTTTCCAAGTCCTCAGAATCAAAAACCCTCCCTACATCCGGGAACTCCTTACTCTATGTTCCTCTATTCAATCTCTTAATACCAGGTCTTAACCTATAGATTTATATATCCTCTCCCATAAAACTACTCAAATCATCTCTGATTCTTGATTAAAGATTATGCTAAGAGGTAATGTGTCGGTATTATATTTAACCAGGTCCACCCGCCAATCCATTATTGAATTCTATAACAACTTTAAAAGAGTTTTGATGTGCTATAGGAAATGTTCTGGAATCCTGAGTCAATTCACCCGATTGATCTGATTCATTGATTGATTGAGTCAGATTACACAAAAATCCATAACTGTCCTTAAACAACACCTAAGATTCCGCGATTGTATTCCTCTAAAAAACAGACAGCTCCTTGTAACCTCCCTTATATTCCCCCACTTCGACTACTGCTGTTTGGTGTATGGAGGGCTATCTGCCAAGGTAGAAATGAGACTGAAGAAACTCATGAACTGTTTCATAAGATACATCTTTTGGATCCCAAAGCATTCACATGTTTCACTCTGGTACACCGAGTTGAAGTGGCTTTATTCTACTTCTCGACGACAATTCCTCCTTGGTGTTTTCCTTTTCCAAGTCCTCAGAATCAAACTCTCCAAACATCCTGAACTGCTTACTCTACGTTCCTCTATCCACTCTCTTAATACCAGTTCTCAACCTATAGATTTACATATCCTCTCCCATAAAACTCCTTCCTTCAGCAAATCCTTCGTCATTCATACTAATTCCTTTTGGAACTCTTTTCCTACCTCCATACGTCAATCCCCTCTACTAATTCCTTCAAATTCCTGTTCTACCACCTACTTCACATTCAAACATTCGCAAACATGTAAAATTACTTGCGTCCATATACTGTTTAAGTCAATCAATTGCACAAATGCAATAACAATCAACAGTTAATTAATTTTTATTTTGTATTCTTCTAAGTCAGACTAAGACTCATGAATATGTAACACTATTATTATTTTTAGGGGACTGTAGTTCCATAATAAAATTACTTTTTCATTTCATTTCAAACTACTCGATTAATTGAAGATGATTGTATATAATGTTCTATAAAATATTTATTTATAGCTTTCAAGCAATATTTTATCAGGTTAAAGGCCAACACCAAGATATATAAATTATTGTTCTTACTTTGAAACCATCAGACTTTCCGGCACAATAACCTGGCAACGTGTCTATCTCATGAAAGATACTCAACATCACAGCGTTCTTAGCCCTCTTGGGGAATGGTCCTGTCTTGACGGCTTCTGAAGCATTATCATCAAACATAGGGGCTTTTGTAACATAACCAGTTTCTATGTTCCAGTCGGACGATCTGCCATGATGGCCATGGCTGGTTAATCTAGAAATGTATCATAAAAAATATAACTTGATATGAATTAAAAATAAAAGATGGGTTATTAGTTAAATATTCTTAACAATTGTTTTATTGTCCACTGGGTGAAAAATGCACCATAAATTAACAGCCAATAAAGACATTGAATCCTTAGTGATATTTGCCATGTGAAAACATTTTATTTGCTAATTTTTTTTTATTTTTTTTTTTTATTGATAAATATTACAATCTGTCTCAATAAAGGACATTTTTAATAGAGTTCTGAGAGCACATTCACACCATATTTACAAATTAAAAAAAAAAAATAATAAATAAAAAAAATAAGCTAACTTCAAATAATATAAAGCTACAAAAGAACAAAATAAAATATCATAATGAGAAAGAAAAAAAAAAAAAAAAAAGTAATGAAAATAAACATCTTAGACGCAGGCATACCTATTACATTATTTACAGTCGGCCATAGGAACTCCGAACCATACTTATCCCCCCAAATGTGGAGGGAAAGCAAGGCTTCAGGAGATCCCTGCGCTTCTTCCTCAACCATTTCACTGGCATTCAAAGCCAGCGGAGATTGAGTAAGGGCGCTACAACCACGGACACTCATGGCTCGAGTGGAGAATCTGGCCATTGCCAGAACTCCAGTATATACATGTTACAAAAGGTCACGGGACCACTGCCGTTTCAGCCTGCGAGGAGGATTGTAGGGATGAGTGGTGCTAGATAGGGATTGTGCTACGGGATTAGGGTGATGGGTAAGGTTTTGATGAAATTTGGAGAATTTGTCTGGGATAAGATCAAGAATAAATGGAATATTAAGGTCATTGTGCAGGGTTTTATTGGTGTCATAGAAGGGAGCATCGACTATTGTACGGAGGACTTTGGACTGGAAGGATTGAATGCGTTTGATGTTAGAAAATTTGGCTGTCCCCCACAGTTCTAGTCCACATGGGTTTTAATATTGTCTTGTAGATCAGTAGTTTGTTTTCAATAGAAAGTTTAGATTTTCTATTCAGTAGTCTATATAGCTGGCCATAACGTCGGTTAAGTTTCTGTCTTTTCAGTCTAGTATGCGGATTCCACGTTATATTTGCTAAATAAACAAATGAACTGAATTTTTCACAATTTTGGATTTAGTGATTCCTTTGAACATTTAGTGACCCCCTAGCACTGAAAAATAGATTTAATTAATTGTACGGTGAATAAACAAAAACTTTGTTAAGGTGTGCAGGCATTTCAGGGAGGTACTTTTGTACCTTTTTTTCAGTAAATGAATAAATAAATAAAATGAAGAAATGAATGGTATGTTAAAAATAAAGTCAGGTCCTAACAAAAATACTAGTGGTTGTGGTGGCCGAGTGTGTTGGAGCGTAGACCGGTCTAGCATCCTCATGCCTAGCGACGCTGGTTCGAATCTGGCCAGGGAGTAGTTGACTTTTACTTCAATGCGGGGACCCATGGACTGAAACTCGGCCCTCCCACTCTGGTTACAATAGGTTTGGTTGTAGCTCTAGAACAACCCTCCTCCCTCCCCCGTGTGCTGGAAGTGATGGGTCGGGGGTTATTCAATAAAAATAAAAAAATACTCAGGATATTTTGCCAAAAATACCTACTTAAACCAATATGGACTTAAGAAGCACTAATTTGCAGTTACTAAACAATTTTCCACATTTCATATTAAAGGTGTTTTTGCTATTAACCAGGATTATAAAAGAAACAAAACAAAAAACTTAAAAGGTTTTATAAAACTATCAGCTATATAACAATAAGAAATCATAGGGAATTTAATATACTTACACATGATTCTTGAATATTTCTCTTGGATCAAACATATTGAAAGTATAACAAACCCCTTGATCTGTCAATGTTCTAACTAGCAAATTTTCACAGTTTGATACTAATGGATTTTTATTCGCATTCATGGGTTTGTCATCAGAATGCATTTCACAATCAAAAATCTTAGGAGGTGAAAACTGAAAAAAACAAAACAATCTTTCATTAATTTATTAATACTGGTATAAAAATATACATGAAAAATAGGAATTGATAATCTAAAATAAAGACCGAATTTTTACATGAAAAAAAAAAATAATCAGTCGAAAATGCAATATTGTTTTCGTTGGAAAAAAAAAAAAATGTCAGTACCTAAATAAATAAATAGATAAATTTGGTTGATTTCTATGAGATGATGCCCAACTCTTCTTACGAAGCATGCTTATCAGTTTTGAAAATAAAATATAAATAAACTTTGGAAATAAAATATAAATAAACTTGTTTATTAATAGTTCAACAATTATAAATAGTAACCAGAATTTTCAAACATGTACAAGGTAGAATAATTCAAAATTTCCAACCAATTGCAGAAACATATGACGAAACTGAGCCTTGAAGACATACTAGAATACTCTGAACCTACTGTATCAAAGCTGATGAAGTTTTTGAAGAAAACTAGTTCTAATAATGGAATATAATTTGCTGCAATTTTACCGATGAATCTTAAGGTTAAATACAACAAAACGAATAAATAAAAAAAAAATCAATTATTAACTACTATACATTGTCATTAGCATCATTTGTTTTGGTTTTTTACTTAAACATCTCAATTGCATTGTTCTTTGTTTTACCTTTATTTTTTACAGTCAAGCCGCAATAATTTCATAAAAAGAATATATCTATATATATAATAAAACAACAGTAAAAGTTCAAATTACACAAGACGATACAAGCTTTTGGATATAAATAAATATTATAATATTGTAGACCAATGACAGAAGAGAACAAAAAAATTCTTTTCTTCAAAAAAAGCAAAGTAAAAAAAAAAAAAAAAATATATATATATATATATATATATATATATATATATATATATATATATATATATATATATATATATGTTCCTTTCATTCCCCCTGAAGGGCATTCCCCCTCCATATCCACATTCAAATCCCTCCTATTCCAATTCCTATCCCAAAAACAGTCAGATACTTGCTAAACTTTTGATATTATACATTTCTAGTCATCATCAAACGATAGTACTATTCTATACTGTGAACTTCACTAGGGATATTACAATATCTTCCTGCTCTTAATGCCACTGACTGCATCTATTGCTTGTTTTTGTTTTTTTTTATTATTATTTTTTATTGGTATATAATTAAATCTGTACCTATAGCTAGCATTTGACAATGATGAGTCTACATATTAATCATTATTTAAATACACTGATATTTTATATTGTCAGCTTTGTATTTTCTTTGTTAGCAGAAACACACCTCATTTTAAAGAAGAACTCAATGTATTTTTTATTATTTTATTTTTCAAAAGAGTATAATTATATTTTTTCCTACTGTACATAGTCTTAAGTTTTTTATCATAGTTTTAAGTGTTTTGTATATAGATTTTTGTTTTTTTCATATAAAGCTTGTTTAACTAATATTTTCTTTACTTTCTCTTTTTTATTATTGTTTTATTTTGGTCAGTTGTAGTATTTTAATTATGTTCTATTTTGTTATTCTAAAGGGACTTTGTCCCAGAATAAAGTTATTTTCTATTTCTATATAAATACACTGTAGCATCATTCAATGAATATATAAATTAAATTAATATTGGACTGAAGTAAAAAAAAAAAAAAGAAAGTTATGTTAAAGGAAACAAATTTAATCATTTAATTTAAATAAATCATCTCAGCATTTTTTTTTTTTTTTTTTTTTTTTTTTTGGCCGAAAACGTTTTTGTACTTAAAAAAAGAAAGTTAATATTAGTGATTTCATAAATAGAAATTTTGTCAATTACTGAAAAATATTGATACAAAGTGTCAAACTTCTCCACTATGGATAACTGCTTCTAATGATTCCAATAAAAAAAATATTCTAAAAGGACAACAACTTTTCACCTTCCGTTTAAAAGCCCTGGAGACTCATAGTTTCTAAAATTCTATTTTAGTGGGGGTATCTTATTATTATATGTATATATAGGGTACCCCCATATAATATATACTATATTATATGGGGGTACTCTATACTATATGGGAGAGGTAAGTGCACAAATATTATTTATGATTCACTTAAAAGAGATAAAGCTGGATTATAGAGTGGTTTTAGCCAGTGATTCAATAAAAGGAACCACTGTTCTTTTTCCCAAACTATTGATCATTTATGCGACTCATACAGCACAAAACAATACACAGAGGTTGTCACGGAAGTGAGCTAAATAATACAAGTACACAAACAAAAAACAGTGGTAAATAATCAAATCAATTGAAAATTATAAAACCTTAGAATCACAATTAAATTATAATAAGAATTAAATACTCCTATTAATTATTTTTGCAACCTCGATGAAGTCTTCTATTGTATAGTTGCAGTATTTGATTCGATCGTCTCCACACAGCATGAACAGAAGGTTTTTGATTTTCCTGCAATTATAACTTGAACTTAAAATAATGGTTTATGTAATATCAATAATATAATAAATATTAATGATTTATATTATATATTATTAAAACAAGATATATAAGTCAATTGGGAGCAAGGTATGGTAATAGCCTAGCATTCTTTAGGGATCTTCAATCAATAAAACCACAAAATAAATACATAAATAATAATCTAAAAATATTCTCAGTTTTTTTTTTTAATTCTTAATAAAATCAATAATATTATTGATAAAATTGTTATATATATTGAGTAAACGAGTCATGAGAATAGAACAATATATGTTACTGTTTTAAAACAATATAAAGCTTATAATTTAAGAAACATTTTTTTTTTAATCACAATTCATATACAATTACACTTACTGTGGTAATCTGGTCCATATCTTTTTCTTGTTTGAAACTTTTCACTATGAAAATTCATATTCCCTTCGAAATATGATCCCCTCAAAAATTCAAAACTTTGTCAAAAAATGCTCCCTCAAAAATTTTTATGGGGCAACTTACGCCATGAAATCCCCTTGTGGGCACCCCTGTTGAGGAGTTATAAATGCTTTAGTGAACGGCATTACATTCCTCCCACACACAAAACTTTATATATCTTGATTTCACAATCGTGTATAACAGTTTTAAAGTAAGTAAGAAAGTATCCAAATCGTTTTTTCATGACTAAAATTTATTTGGCCTCCTTCACTGGAAGCATCTTTTGGTATTTGTAATTTGTGATACATTATAACCCATTTGATACAATATCAAGTCAATATTATTTTTTTCTTATCCTACTCAAAAAAAAATCGGTTGATGTATAGTAATCTAAAAATACAGACAAAACAAAGGCAATAACAAACATTATAAATTTTGTTAGAAATTTTTTTTTTCTCTGTTGCTAGGGATCATTGGAAAGAAATCTGGGACATATGTCTAATATTTTTCGATGTAGTATAAACAAAAAAAAAAGTTTAAGTTCGCTCTCAGGCTGCCAACTATTTGCAAGTTGCAACTATAGTTGTAAAAATTTTAAATTACTTAAAGATTAAAAGATAAGGACTTTATTGAAAGTAAAAACTAATGAGATAACTTTAAAATAAATATTTCATTGGCAGTAAGTTTCAAAAAGCAATAGCGACCTTGCGGGCTCCTCTTAGGGTACGGGATAATCAAGTGGAAATGAATATTTTAACTCATTTCAAAAATACATATCAGGGCACCATTAAACTTGATTCGTGCTTCACAAGTCATTTCATTTATTTTTTGTACAGTTCAGGGCTCCCTAAACCCTAGGTGGTCTCCCCTCTCAGCCCCCATCTAGATATCCCTTCCTGACGACATGCACAGCCAAATTAATTAATGGGCCATTCTTTTTTCCAAGTAATACTTCCTCATTATCACTGTCATATTACCCACCCGGCAGAATAATGACATAATTGTAAATCATACAATTTTATTTGTTTTTTTCCCTTCAAATCTTAGCCCGCACCTAAAAAGAATTTGACAATAACCAGATGTATTAAAGTGAATTTGGAAAATGACATTTTTTGTATGAGGAAGGATAGTATCCAGCAGCACCTCTTCCTGGTCTTTATTAGCTTTCTTAATTCAGGAAAGGAGGTCTCAGATCCACCTAATCTTCAGTCACCAAGACAGTAACCATTGCCCTGATTAGTGCCCACATGCTTGGGTCCAAACGTTGGCAGGTCTAATAAACCATGTAAATCCTGTCTATTTGTCATTCTCATAATTTAGTTTAATAAAAGGTAGCAAATATGTATCACTAAACAATTCTTTGTCTTAATAGTTGGAAATCTGCTGAAAATTGAATATATTTTATTATTATTTTCTGATTACCGTAATATAAAATTTATGATCGAAATGGCGTATCATATTTTTATTTTAATTAATAAATCCACTGGTCCAATTTGAATACTTACAAATTGTCCGTAGTATCATTTGTGTAAATGATCTTCCTGTTGTCACAAATGGTGAACGCAGGAAAAGGTATCTTCAACAAATCCTCATGTTCCTGATAGCTGTCCACCTCGATGGCCGTCTGTGACCACTTTACGAACTGTCTGGAAACGTAATAAGCAGCAGTGAAGAAACCCAGAAACACCACGGATATCCACCAAAACCTATAGTCAGAAATAATGATTTATTTAAGCTCCATTAATAAATAAAATATTTCCTCTTATATTTAATAACAGATCTATAGTTGTTATGAGATTCACCTATATGTATAGTTTTGTTATAGAAGGAACACACAGCAATGTACTAAAATAATTTTCATATCAATTGAAAAATACCTATTTCAATATTTTGTTGTATTTGACAAGTAAAATATCCACAATAAAACTATGAACACATATGGATACAAACTATTAAGGGAAGGCAAAATATAGTGTAAAAATTTACATTTTTCGATTGCTATAAAATTCTTATTTAAGGGTTTTTTGATGTGCAAGAAACGAATATCAACTTTGTTTATTCCTTCAAAAAAATATTTAATGGGATCCGGACGTGTATATCGTGCATAATATCTGAGTTATTCTTATATTTGGACCGAATATGCACAACTTATTTGGTGTGTGCATATAATCTTACTTAAGCTACCGATCAGATTTAGAAAAAAAATATATTTGGAATATAGCAATAGAAAGAGTACAATATTATTTGTACCGACCAATAGTTGAGATTTGTATTTCGCAACTCGAAAAACCCTTAAAAATGAATTTTCATAGCAATTGAAAAAAAAAAAAAAAATTCAAAAATTTTCTTTGCCTTCGATTTTTTTTTTTTTTAAACTAAAAATATTTTGATGCCTGAAACATTACTACATCTGTCCACAGGGAGGGAGAGAGGGGAGACTTTCGGGCTGAAGCCTTCTCCCTCCCCAAAATTATAAAATGTTACCCTGCTTTATGGAAAAAAATTATCTCTTAAAGTAATATTGTTCGTGTAATTACATTTAATAGGACTTCAAGTATGTTTTCGGAATCTCAAGAGATACGCATATTACCCAGTATTCCACCGAGTCAGTACTTCCTAGCTACCTTTCTGTACCAGATCATTAGGACTCATCGACCCTCCTATATTTTCCATAGCTAACATTTTAAATACTCCATCCAATCCCGTCCTACTAGATCTCGCACTTCCGACCTCTATCCTCCTCCTCACCGAACTGCTGCGTTTGACAAATCATTTGCAATTCAAGAAGCATCTCTCTGGAATTCCATCCCTGCTGATATTCGACACGCACAATCAGTTTCCTCTTTCAGACCTCTCCTCTTTAAACATCTACTCCTTTCTCAATCCGCCTGATTACAAAATATACCTAAGAGAGTATCCTCTAAAATCTAATCTAATCTAAGTATCACCAGAAAATATTTTTGTTATTTTAGTTTTCTCTGTTTGTATTATGTACGTTTAATATGTATGTATATGTACGCTTTTCATGTCTTTTTCTTTCTCTCCGTGTGTATTTTTACTTTTAAATAACCAATATTGTAAATATTTACTCTATTTATGCCCACTCATACATGTATTCAGCACATATAATCTATATTAATAAAATAAATATTTTGTCTGTACATTGAATAGAATCAACCCGTTTTATGATATCTTTCCGTTTCATACATTGCAGACACCAAATCCACTTTAAAAAAAAATTTGTCTGTCTGTATGTCCGCATTGCAACGAAATTTTGTCAAGGTTAAATTCAACAATGGCTTATTGTAGACTTTTGAAATTTTGACATTATATTAAGGTTTGCTTGACTTAAAACATAACCTTTAAATGAAAACAAAATATTGAGTATAATCAAAGTTATGAATTCTTGAGTAATTTGTCTAGAGATCCCGGTTAGGCAGTTACCTCGATTCCCATCCCAACCTACTCCACCGCGAGACACATTTAAAAGTACTACTTAACTGATAAAAAAACTTATCATAACTCAACGAGAAAAATCCGGAATACCGAATATCTGTAACGTTTTGTCACATAAAACGGGTAAAACACACTCATTTTTAAACTCTGTTCGATCTTGCCGTTCAAGGTGTCATTCGATTCAACTTCCCGAGCCTAACAAATATTGCTATATAAATTTTTAGGATTAACCAAACGGATTACTCAGATCAAGTTCTAATTTTACACGGATGTTGATGACTCAATGTCCAATGTTATTTTGGTTATTTCGCCAGAGATAAACTCTACAGAGTTTAAAGAAGTGGAGAGACTACAACTCTTTTGGATTAATTAATCGACTCCACAATCTCCTCGATTCATCATAAATGAAACAATTAAACACTTAAAAAATGTTAATAGTTCGGTGGTGGTCGGTTTAGTTGTATGGTACTTAAACAAATAGCCGAATAACAATGTTTTTGTTATGGCTATTGCGAAACCTTGATTTTCATAAGCCCCGCCATAAAAAAATTCAAAACAATCCCTCTCCCCCCTCCTGACCAAATTTATGAAATTGAATTTGGATCCTCCCTTCCCCATAATCTCAAAAAAAGATTCTCAAATTTTAACTATACAACGATGGGTACATCAGCTAGTTTGTTCTAAAGGGACAACAATCCCAGAATAATAAAATATATTTTCATTTCATTTCACACCCTGTATAGGTAAATCATTTACAAAACAACCAAATATTCCTGTAACATTTAGAGGTTTCGTACATAACTTTAGTAGAATACAATATTATTAGTAAGTAAATGAGAGACATAAGATGAAGAAGGTACCTCTCTATCCAAGACCTGTTAGGCTCAGCCAGGTACCGCATCCCGTGGATAGAGGTACTCCTGCAGAACTGGCCCCAGTACCTCCTCGAAGCTAACGAAGAGTTCTTGAACCTCTGGAAGCTGGATTGGCTTATCAGACGTTTCAGACCCCATTTTCTGCAAACGATATATCAACAGTTGGAAAATAGTTTTCAAAATTACAAATTATTATTAGAGTACGTGTTAAAATCATTTTCTCCGTTCAGTTACAGCTTTATTTAGACTTTTTTTTAGTGTCAGCAATGCCACCAGAAAGGCTAGAATTAGCTGCAATTTGTGGTGGTAAGCTGTTGCAATAACTGTTTTTAAGCGCTTGTAAAAATACTAAAATCCAAGGAACTGACCTGGAATGCCAAAGTAATCTATATAAATAAAATAAAGTTTTTGTCAGTACATTGAATAGAATCAACCCGTTTTATGATATCTTTCCGTTTCATACATTGCAGACACCAATCCACTTTTAATTTTTTTTTCTCTGTGTGTATGTTCGCATTGCAACGAAATTTTGTCAGGGGTAAGCTCAGCAATGGCTAATTATAGACTTTTGAAATTTTGATATTATATTAAGGTTTGGTTGATTTAAAACATAGGCTTTAAATGAAAACAAAATATTGAGTAGAACCAGAGTTATTAATTCTTGAGTAATTTGTCTAGAGATCCTGGTTAGGCAGTTACTTCGATTCTCATCTCAACCTACTCTACAGCGAGCCACATTTAAAAGTTGTAATACTCAGCTGATGGAAAAAATTATCACAACTCAACGGGAAAAATAAATACCGACCATCTGTATGTAACGCGTTGTCCCTTAAAACACTCTCATTTTTCAACTTTGTCCGATGTTCCCGTTTAAGGTGTCATTTGGTTCGACTTCCCGAGCCTAACAAATGTTGTCGTATACATTTTTAGAATTAACCAAACAAATTAACCAAATTTAGTTTAATCAGTAGTTTAGGAAAACAAATCCCAAAAATTTTACTCCGCCTGCCACAATCTTCAGATCAAGTTTTAATTTTCGTAAACCAACGACTTCCTGTCCTACAGTTTCCTTTAACAATACTCCACTTATCCCTGTTGAGCAAATCCGATACCTAGGACTCCACCTGGACAAACGACTAACTTGGAATCCTCATACTAGACTGAAACGACAAGAAACCGCTCGACGTTTCCGATTACTTCAGCACTTACTCGACAAACGCTCTAAACTTCCCATTAATTACAAAAGACTCATATACTTGACTATAATAAGACCTATTTGGACTTACGGAGTTGAGCTATGGGGCTCCACTAAACCATCGAATTCCTCTCGCATCCAATCCTTACAATCCAAAATCCTTCGTAAAATCCTCAATTCTCCTTACTTTGTCACTAATAAAATTATCCATAAAGATCTTAATGTTCCTTATATTTCAGATCTGTCCCAATCCAGATACCTATCCTTCCATAATAAACTTCAGAATCATCCCAACCCTCTCGTTTCTAACCTTGCTTCCTCTTCAATTCCTGATAACCCTCCGAGGCGTCTGACAAGAAGATGGCCCCGTGATCTCCTTATGTAGACATATCATTAGAGTGCTACCATTGGGTAGTTACTCAGCAAGTGTATTCATGTCATTATATCAATTATGTCCGAATTTACTTGATGTATTTATGTAATACAGTTGTAAATGTCTTAAAGAAAAAAAAAAGTTTTAATTTTACACGGGTGTAGGCAACTCAATGTCCAATGTTATTTTGGCTATGTGTGCCAGCGATAAACTCAGCAGAGTTTAAAGAAGTGTAGAGCCCACAACTCTTTTTGATTAATTAATCGACTCCACAATCTCCTCGCTTCATCATAAATGAAAATGTAACACTTACACAAATTTTAATGAATTGGTGATGGTGGGTTTAATTGTGTGATACCTAAACAAATAGCCGAATAACAAAATTTTCGTTATGACTATTGAGAAACCTTGACTTCCATAAGCCACGCTGTAACAAAATTCAAAACTATCCTCCTCTCTCCTCCCGACCCAATTTTATGAAATTGAATTTGGACCTTCCCCCTCTCCCCCATAGTACAAAATCCATCGCAAAAAAAAGATTCTCAAATTTCAACTATACACCCGTCAACGACGAGTACATCAGCTAGTAATTTATAAAACCCGTTGTTACCTACGGGTGTGAAACATGGTTTTCGACAAAGAAAAGTGAGAGATTTCTGACAATTTGGGAGAGAAAAGTCCTAAGGAAAACATAAGATCCGAAGAAAATAAATGATCAGTGGCGAATGCGGAAAAATGACTAGCTCTATGTGCTGTTTAATTATAACGATATTGTAGTCATTGTCAAAATGATGGTCAGATATTTATGCCATGTAGAGATAATGGAAGAGGATAGGTTGTCTTGGAAACTTCTCTATAACCGCCCAGGAAGGTTGCCAGAAACTTGAAGGAAGGCTGGAGAAGACCTCAGCAGTGTTGCCGTTTGTACGAGGATCCTCGTATTTGTACGAGGTTATGACGTAATGTACGAGGTACGAGGATAGATCAGCCTCGTACCTCGTACATAAGTTTTGCTGAGTTTGCAATGCAAGGTTATATTTTTATGAATGAAGTTTAGAATTTTTTTACGGTTACTTTGACTGTATTATAATTTATGTTGATATGAAATACTGAACTTCTGTTGCTTTATAGACAAATAAATTGCAATTATATCTTCTTTAATTAGAGTATGATTATTATTTCCTTCACAAAACCATGATTGTATGTATATGTTTTTTTTTAATTTTCTAGAAAATAAAATTTAAAAAAATATATTTTAGATTTTATTCAGTATAAAATAAAACATAAGAAACCATATCCATTATTTCCTTCATGAAACTTTTTTTTATAAATATGTATTTTTTAAAATTTGTTGTAAAAGAAAATTAAACAGAAATTTTTACCGTCATTTTTATCGAGTATAAAATAAACTACGAGAAAGTATATCGTAAAACTGCAATTGTAAATATATTCTAGATAAATTAATTTTTTTTTAAATTGTTACTGTAATTTAAAAAAATTATTTTCGATTTTTAATCCAGTAAAGTAATTAATTGAAAAAATAACTAGTATTCATAATGAACCCATCTTAAATAATGAAAAAAAAAAGTATTTTTTCAGTGGTCCACATTTATTTTGTGCGAGATATAATTGTAAGCTAAATACTGAAACAATCACAATCTATAATTTTTTTATATTATAATGGATATCTCTAAATGCATCAATGGCCCAATAATTAATTTTTATTAGCCTTCCAGAACCACTAACATCCTTTCATAAAAGTAGTTGTTTTGTTTTTAGAAAAAAGAAAAAAAATTAGTCCTTCCCCCAAATTAAATCTTGGATCTACTAATGAATACTTATGAATTGAGTACTTTATTTAATTTAATTTAATGAATTGAGTAAGTTTATTTAGCTATTAGTTTATAAAAATATATAAACTTTTTTATATATTTTATTAAGCTAATGTTACTTCTTGACCCATTAACTTAAAAAAAAAAAGGAATGTAAAAAGGCTTTAAAATATATGAATGGAGATAAAAATAAAAAATTCTCATCTAATTTTACTATAAAAAAAAAACAATAAGACTGGGCTTATAATAGTACAAGTTATGAATGAACAAGCGTACGAGGCTTGAGTACGAGGTTTTGTCACAGAGCGCGCGGTAACACTGGACCTCAGCCGTATGGGAATAAGAAGATGGAGAAGAATAGCTGCCGATAGCGAAGCCTGTCAGAGGTTTCTTTCTGAAACCCAGGTCAGTTAAAGGGATGTTGAGCAAATTAATAATAATAATGCCACCATAAACTTAAGTAAGAAGTTTACTGATTACAGGTTACAGGTTAAAGAGGTTCAACTTAAACTTAATAAAATTGCAAGTTTTTTATTTATTTGTTCTTGAAGCTATTCGTTATGTAATTATTTGAATGTTCATAGCTCAACTAATGAAATGTATATCTCTAAGGTGTAACAGGCAGTTGGCGAGATGTGTGTATTAGCTCTAGTCTCGGTAAATGGTATTTTATTGTTTATAGTCGCCTAGAAACGTTAACTGGAATATATTAATTCTCATTCGTAAGATTAACGGTTTTGATTTCAATTCTTTCTACACCTAGGACTCCACCTGGACAAACGTCTAACTTGGAATCCTCATACCAAACTACAACGACAAGAAACTGCTCGACGTTTCCGACTACTCCAGCACTTACTAGACAAACGCTGTAACCTTCCAATTAATTATAAAAGACTCATATACTTGACTATAATAAGGCCTATTTGGACTTGAGCTATGGGGCTCCACCAAACCTTCAAATTCCTCTCGTATCCAATCCTTACAATCCAAAATCCTCAATGCTCCTTACTTTATTATAAATAAGATCATCCATAATGACCTTAATGTTCCTTATGTATCAGATTTGGCCAAATTCAGATATCTGCACTTTCATAATAAACTTCATAACCATCCCAACCCTCTTGTTTCTAACCTTGCTTGCTTCCTATTCAATTCCTGATAACCCTCCGAGGCGTCTGAAAAGAAGATGGCCACGTGATCTCCTGATATAGACATATTTTTAGAGTACTACCAATAGGTAGTTTCTCAACATGTGTTCCATGTCATTATATCCATGTGAGAATTTACCAGATGTATTATTTGTATATAGTTGTAAATATCATATAAATAAATTTAAAAAAAAAAATTTTCTACAATAAAATACTTAGCGTTCCTGATTAGTAAAATTCCAATATGTCACAGAAATAATATATTTTAATAAAATATTTAAAAATCAACTGATAAAAAAAAAAGAGATAGGATAGGAAAAAGATAATGAAAAACTTTGATAAAATACAAAACTGCTGCATTTACCGGCTGGGAGGAGAGACCATGCCCTCTGCCATCGTTACACTGACCGTTGTAGAACATTCATCAATTAACATTAGGGATCATGCGACATGCGAGAGTTCGCCGTGTTATTAGTTGGAGTCATGTCGAGCCCGACCGCTCGCGTTTCCTGGAACACGATGATTGTATGCTTGCCAGCAATGTCAATAGATCTGTCTGGATGAGCTCGATTAGCGATGATGTCCGACTATTAAGGTGTATATTGTGTACTTACCCATCGTCAGCTTGGTCTCAATGATCAAATAGAGCCATACATTATATTTGCCATACAATTAGGAAAGACAATTTATTTATTAATATTGACTTAGGATGAGCACTTTGTGACAATGTTTGATTGACGCTGTTTGTAATATTCTGATATCATTGTAGAAATAAGTTTTCTTGTAATAATCCACACTAACCTTCAGTCTTTTTTTTTTTTTTTTTTTTTTTTTACTTTTCTACCTGTACTAACTAAGGAAAGTATTGCGATCGAGACAAGTTTACGATATGCGGTTTTCGACAGTTACGGAATGGACTTAATCCGTAACAAATAATAATTATATTAATTAAACTTTTATTTTGTTAAATATCCCAATTGGTGAATCATGTATTATATTGTCGTTTTTCATGACTCAAAAGATAAAAGAACAAAGCATCCCTAGATAGCCAGGTCAAGATATTTCTGCTAGCTTAGAAATAGTTATCTATAATGTACCGACTGGACACAATTATCAAGACTTAGGGAACAATAACCGATTTCAGCAAAAGGGAACTTTATCACAGACCTCATCTTATGAATATTAACTATCGATAACTTCCTTTGCCTCTTCCGACTTCCCTTTATCCTCCTGCTATTCTTGGGTATATAAACCCCATGCTCCTCAGGACTAATCACTCATGCAGTTACATTCTTGAAGTCACACTCTTCACTGTAGGAGACCTGGAGTGAACTCGTGTAGTCAAACCATATATCCATAGTATATTACTAGATGCCATTTGTAACAGACATTATGAATAAAAGCATTACTTATAAAGTCTTCACTGCCTCCGAATCGTTAACTGACGGATCTATACGTTCCAGAGCCCCCTGAGTCACTTTTTTAGCCATTGGTCTGTCTGTCTGTCTGTGCCAAGATTTTCTCCGGAACTAGTGAAGCGATTTTGATGCTTCTTTTTTTATTTTGTATAACTTTGACGACTGATGCCCGTGGCACAAATAGGGTGCTCCATGCGCAATAGCTGTTGCCCAATAAATCAAAAACATGTATTTCTACAGATTGTAGCGCGAAAACGGCTCTAACGATTTTGATGAAACTTTCCTATAATGTTCTAATAATGGTCCTTTCAATTTTCGTACATGGATTAAATTCCCGAAAAATTTCAGGAAAAAAAAGTTATGTTTTGGGGCCTAACTCGCTAAGTATATATTCTATGGTAAAATTTATAATAATACTTTTGAAAGGTAATAAAATTACCAACAAAACAAAAACAAAATCATCGGAATCGAACCAGTATTAGCGATGATACAGCTTATTATATTTTCTACACATGTTTTAATTTATTACTTTCCTACCCATACTAGGTAACTAAAGTATTGCGATGGGGTTGAATTTCCGATGTGCGGTTTTCGACGGAGCTATACGTTTCAGAGTTACCGTTTTTTTTTTTAAGGTAGAGCAATTCCCTACAAAGCCATATAAAAATCGTTCATTTCGGACAACTATTAACGAAGTTACAGCTATTCAATTTCCAATATGAGATTACGAGTACACATCCTGGTGTCAGAAAGGGATGAATGAGAGAAAAAAGTAAGTAAATGAAAGTAAGAAAATCTGTTGCCCGCTTCACTATTTTCTCTAATTTTAACAGAAATTATTGTTTGATAACATTAGGCTATGGCAAAAGTTTTTGATCAGCAATATTAGAGGCTAACGAAATTTTTACAACCACTTACAGATCAAATCTTTTCTCTGATCAATTTTCAGGAAAATAATTCTGATTCAATTATTTTTTGTTTCTTGATGGACTAATGTAAAGATATAAAATCTTTTCTGAAATAGGTTGGAAAGTCGTCTAAGTGTACACACCAGATTTTTTTATCTGTTTTCTAACAAGACAAAGAGCTTATGAATGACTTCAGGAACGATACAAAGCACAAAATATTGAAGAGCCGTGATTTATATGAAGAAAAAGAAATATTTTAGTCAACCATTGGTATCTAAGTAACAAAGAGGAAGTAACTGTGCTATCAAAGCACACACGACGCATCGTCATGGTGAGTGAATTGAAGGCGCACGAACAGAGTAAATTTTATCAGGCGCTCATCTAAATGGACCAGTAGTATATTTTCTATTATATATATGTTTTCTAGTATGAGTTATACCTATTATACAAAGGTATGATATATGTTTGCAATTCCAACAATGGCCGATGAATTTCGAATCTATATAATTATTTATATAATCACTATTGTAAAAACAGTTCCGATAAATGGCTGTGATATCTGGACGCTAATTAGCATCCTAGAACACGGACGGATCTAAGGGGAGGGCTTTCGGGCTGATGCCCTCTTCCCCACAATGGTAAAATATAATCATGTAGATTAGACTATAAGATCATGTAGATCTTATGAAAAAACATTAAATAATTACCTCTAAAAGTATTATTGTTCATGTAATTACATTTGATATTACTCAAAGAATCACTTCTTCTTATTTCATATAGGTAGTTAGTTCCTTTCTTTTTCTTCCTAAGTAATTATCATTATATTTAAAAAAAAAAATTTTAGGCTGAAGCCCCCACCCTCAAAAAAAAAACTGAATCCTGAACCCGTTAGAACTCTAGAAAGAAGTATTGAAAGATTTGAGGAAAAAGCCAGATAACCAGATATTGTCATCTATATTAATATCGGACTATCTATACCATCAAAACAAGTTATTTCATGTTATTATTTTCTGTTATCAAATTTACTAAATGTATTTTATTTATTAATACAGTTGTAAATATCGTAAATAAAAAAAAATATTAAAATATCGAAAGGACCATATATTGATAGACAATAATATCGAAGTAGATACTTTCGATCGTAAAATATCGATTTTCAGAATAAAATAACGATATTTCAAAGATATCGACTATCTCTAGATCAGACTACTAACGGAAGTAAAAGAATGACCAATAAAGAGCTGCTTGCAGAAACTGGTCAATCAATATCTCATGATATGAAGGTAAGGAGATTAAGATGAGCGGGGTATGTAGCTCGGAGCACTAGCGGATTCAGGATTTCATTTTGGGGGGGCTTCAGCCCGAAAGCTTTTTTTTTCATAAAAATGACGATAATTACTTTGGAAAAAAAGAAAGAAACTAACTATCTATATGGAATGGTGTTTAAGTGATTCCTTAAGTCCTTTTAAATGTAATTACACGAACAATAATACATTTAGAGATAATTTTTTAAACATAAAAACATAAAACATGGTTATATTTTACCATCTTGGGGGGAGGGAGGGGCTTCAGCCCGAAACGTAGAGGTAACTTTCCTCAGGCAACCGAGGCTAAAGGAATAAATAATACAAAAGTACAAGAATACTAATAATTATATACTGAAAAGAAGAGAAAAGAAAACTTAGTAAACTTTAAGACAAATATATTGTCATCTTTCAAAAATGTTTGGAAAGTAAAGAGATCTGCTTCTGTCATTGAGCATCAGGTTTTGATTATGTGATCCTCTTGCGTGGGAATCCAGCCTATGTACGTCAGATCTTAACTTGCCTCATGACCAAAATCATTATATTCTTTCTATTTTTGTTCTCAATTCTTAGCGCTCTACGTCGCTGTGAGTCGGTGGTCCTATCCACGTGGCGAACCTCGCGGTTCTTATCAGAAACGACCCATTAGAAGTTCAAAGTTAAATTGAATTAAATAAAAAAATATATTTTTAGCGGATTAATATTTCTTAATGGTATACATATACTTTCAAAGAATATGGGTTCCTGCTATTGTAACTTCTAATAGAAGACTATTCATAATCTTTGACAAAGATATCACCTTATTATTTTTTTATTTTATTTCTTCGGCCCAAGACTCCTACAAAAGTCCTATACTGCAAGATATAATTTCCATTTCTGGATAAAAATTATAGTGTTGGTTGGCACATCAAAATTTTAAACTCGTTTATCTTAAAATTGAAGGAGAATTATATGGAATTATATTCCACAGATTATGGAAAACACAATATTAAGATAAAAATTGGTTGTAACATAACAGTAGACTATGTTAATTAATAATAACGAGTAACGGCATACACTGGGCAGGCTTATGAATATGCATCAGCCAAATTTTCCTATAATGTACCATATAGCATGTATTAATCTTATCAGAATTTGTATCGCTTACAAATAAATAATAAATCAAAATTTTATTCAATATGAATAAATTCAAAAATACATATTTTATGAGTTCAGGATTATGTTACCAATGACAGTATCTTTTTTGATTTAAAATTTTTATTTGTAGAGAATTATGTAATACATATATTGTTAATGTTATTAATTAACTGTTAATTTATACTAATTGGAGTTTATAATCATAGAGATGAATATGGTGCATAGATACCAAAAGCTTCTCTACAAATAAAAATTTTAAATCAAAAAAGAGACTGTCATTGTTAATATAATCCTGAACTCATAAAAACAAAAAAACAGTCTTCTGTTCATTTTTCCTTTATACTAAATTTTTATATGTAGTTTACTTTCTATATATATTCCTTTTTCCTTTTGGTGTCTTGAAGTTTTTTTTATTTGTTACAATAAATTAGACCTTTTTTCACCAACATTTTATTATTACGCATCAATTTAACGTTTCGACCATACTAAGGGTCATTTTCAAAACTTGATGAGTCCTCCTAATATGTTCATCCTTAATTTTCTAATTAATAAGTTCAGTGAACATTACTTGTCAATTTTTATAGGTGCTTCGCCTACGTCATTTCTAGAGGGACTTAGTATGGTCGAAACGTTAAATTGATGCGTAATAATAAAAGGTTGGTGAAAAAATGCCTAATTTATTGTAACAAATAAAAAAAAAAACAGTCTAAAATTGCGTGATAAATACATATTTTATTTTCATTAATAATAATTGGATTTCATTAATTTTATAGAATTTTTTGAGTTTCTTATAAAAAAATAAAACTACTATCTAATTATTATTATGCATTTCAATAACATTTAATAGAGGTTAGCAAATGCATTAGAAGGTCTTTGAAAAGGATAAAAAAAATATCAGTAAAATCTAATAGAAAGGTACAAAAAATATTTCATTACTCTTTCAAAAAATTAATTTTTATAAGGTAAGAAAAGATGTAGTTGATGAAACGTTAGAAATCAACAAATAACGTTTCGTAATATATATACAACACTATAAAAATAAATAGGCATTTATGTTATACTGTTCGTTTCATTAAATTAAATATAGTATAATTACATTTTAGATATACTAGTAGTCCATAAAATAACCTTAGTTATTATATATAAGATTATTTTGACTTTCACTTACTTTTATAAATAATATATAGCGAGCGGAAATCCAAATTGTGTCCAATATTTCGATTTTAACTTTTCTTACAACAACCTGATGAATTCCAGTAAAAGGTGAAGACCTCTGGAAGATTACTAACCACATGAAAAATAAAAAATATATATAAAAAAAAATACCTAGCTACTCAATTGCTAAATTTCAAAGCAGAAATAAATATAGATAGAAAGTAAACTACAAATAAAAAATTAGTATAAATATGTAATGTACATATAAAGTAAATTGAGATATAACAAGACGTTGATTGCCTACAACGGATTCATCGATCTCAATAGAGCTGAGCAATCATTCAGATCGATGAATAAATAAACGTGCTGCATTCAAACGATGAGTTTAGGAACCAAGAATTTATATGTTTATGGAAAATAAGTTAAAATTCTTAAAACAATATTAGAATATTAGAAAAATATTAGAATTCAGCCAAATTCTATTAAACCCATATTAATGATAAAGTCAATTGTAACATGTCAGTTTTGTTTGAAATCATAATATGATGAAGTATTTAATTTTGACATATAAAATTGCTTAAACGTTGTCGCAAATAATAATTATATTCTTTGACGTTTCATTCTTATTTACCGATTGGAATTTATATTAATTAAATAAAAGCTGACAAAATACGAATTCCAGGTTTTTCCTTAATTTTTAAAATTAAACTCTACAGCTCTCTTTCTATTTTTCATTCACGTTTTTAAAAATTAACATTGTAAAAAATATTTATTAATTTAAAAGATCTTTTTTCATTTTTAATTATAAATATACTTTATGAAAAAAAAATCCATTATTATTTTTTAAGCTTTTGTGTAAGTTAATATTTTTTTTATTACGCAATGAAGTGAAATATTTTAACTTTTCTCCGTCAATTACCAGTTACGAACATAGATCGATTTTAGTTTAATAAGGTTTATGAAAATATTTTATCTGTTCGGAGAGTTCGTTATGAAACATAAGCGTTCATTTTCTATCATGTAATATTGGCAGATCGTAATTTCAGCCTAATAATTCAGAAAATTAAATTAAACCAATCTTTAAATTCTGAGATAACATCATTTTACGTTTTAACAATGATTAAAGTTCCTTGGAAGGGGCGAGAGATATACCATACCGCAGGACACTACTCGAGCTTTAGTTTCATTCTTTGTTCTTTAATTTCCTCTTAAATTCAGGACTATGCTGATGTACAAGAAACCGTAAATTAAACATAAGGCCTACATAATATTAAGCGATTCTATTCCTTATTCGTTTCCAACACAAAGTTATAACTTTAATGAAGTTATGAGAACACACAGTATCGAACCCTTCTGATGAATGTACCATAGATACCACCTCTATTATTATACTATAATAATAGAGGTAACTATACAACCCAATGTAATTAGACATAACCTAGAAATGTATATAATAATACATTTAAATAAATTCGCAAATTTTTTTATTTAAAAAACAAATATAATCAGAGAAACCTGGCATTGGATATACATCTGTATTTTGTTTTATTTATTTGTTATAACAAGTGGCCATCAAGATTTGTCATCAAATCTTTTTTGGTCAATTTATATTTTTAAAGAAATATTGCCGAGGAGGTTTCATGGAGCAAGTTCTGGTATCATCAAAATGTTTGAGGGGGGACACATTTTTACGCGGTTTTGAATTTTTGAGGGGCGAATTTCTACAGGGTTATGTATTTTTGGAATGAAAATTTTCAATCAAGGTGACAAGAGAAAAACCATGGACCAGACTATAGCAAGCTTAATTGTATCTCATCTATGATTTTTTTCCATTTTCGCTTAATTTTCGCTTGCATGTTTTTAAGAAGAGGTGAGTAAAACAAAGTCTTCGGAGAGGGAGGTACATTTATGTGCCATTGACCTTGGTGGGAAAGGGGGGTACCCCTGATGTACATATATAAATGTAAGTTTTCTTCAAATTTCCACTTCAATGAATTGTACACTGTGTCATTGTTGAAAAACATTATAATTTCCTCTTCACTTAAATTTTCTAGAAATGTTACGTCTTTCTTCGGTGCTAAATCATAATTTCCTTCTGTATTTTCTGCATCAAAACAGTATGTTCCATGGTCGTTTGACACGTTACGAATTTCACCCTTTCCGATTTTAATAAGATTAAAATATTTCTTGGTGCGTCCTTAATTAGAACGCAATCTGTACCATATCGTGCAAATTCAGAGCAAACTACGGAACAACATTCATAGTTGGCTGTACCTGGTAATATGTACCGTTCCTTTTGTTAGTGATCCTCAGTTGTACCGAACTTGCCATTCCTTTATCACTTCTTCCTTTAATGAACTAAAGAGACCCGCTTTGTTTACCTTCATATTCTCTTTTACAGTTCGTTTCATCGTTTATATTGTAGTGAGAAACACAGTTATAACTCCAAGTGACTTTCATGTGGTATTTGTATCATTACATATTCCTTGCGGAACATGTTTTCCCATCATCAGAACCATATAGACTTTTGTCAGAATCTTCTCGTATTTTGGTGTGCTCCATTTGCTATTTTGTCATTAGGGATAACATTTATTTTGACAAACAATTGTATAAATTCGGAAAAAAAGATAACTTTTAATTTTGAATGCATTTATAATAATAATAAACTATATAATGCTTTATTTATTCTGAGATCCCTTTAGAATAATATAAAGAGGAGAAAATGTGGGCTTTCGAGATTCAGAGAACAATCACGAAATAAACAGATAATGAATAGTAAAAAATAAAATAAAAAACTAAGGTGTGTCCTTTAGACCACACGATGAAAGTGAAAACATCAACAAAGCAAGATTAATAATATGAAATATGAATTATAAATAATAGGTCATTATAAAGAGGACGAAATGCTGAACAATTCTCTCGCTTATAGTATATAGCTTCAATTTTTATTTTCTGAAATATTTTACTCCATATATTCAATAAAACTCGTTATAATTTGGTTTTCGACACTATTTTCCCCTTTTCGCCTCTCTAACAGGACGTCACGTTAAGATACAATTTTGACTAATAGCTCGTTGCAAAGACAATGAAATGATGAACATTTCCCTCGTTTATAGTATGCAGGTCTAATTTTTACGTTCTGATATATTTTAATCCATATGGAGAAACACTTCAATTAGTCAACTCCAGCCGGCTTTACCCGAGGTTACATATCGGAGATCTGAAGGCTCAAACTAATTTACTCTAAACAAAAATAGTGCAAAACGCGCCCAAAGAAATTTTTACTTAAAGAAGTATTATTTATCTTCAAACTTCAACTAAGAAAAAAATTAGATAAAAGTATTAAAAACAAATTAGTAATTTATGTACATATTTACAAAAACATCTATTTACAAATTTATACAGCAGATGACGTGATTGAACAGGTGGGATTTAAAGGTGGGGAGGAAGTATAGTTTTGGAGCGACGGTTGTACGAAAGGACAGAATTCCATAGGGATGGGGATCAAATAATGAAAGATCTATCGAAAGCAGCGGTTTGGTGGGCCCTTGAATACAAATCTGAAGATCGGAAACGAGTTTGCGGGAAAGAACAGAGGATTTGAATTGAAGGAGCTCGGATATGTATGAAGGACGGCGGGATTGGATGACTTGGAAGAGGAAGGATGCTACGAAATACTTAAGACGGTAGGATTCACGGCGCAAGTTGCACCACCAAAATTTATGAGGGGGGGGGCTTATTTTGACGGGTTTTTTGAATTTTTTAGGGAGGCGAATTTTGACGGGATTA